CACCCTGGGCATGGACTGCCTCAGATGAGGTGGGTATATGCCACTCTCAACCTCTGCCTTGGGTGAGGTAGGGAGAGTGGACATGTCCCATGTGCGTCCCTGTGATGTCAGGATGTACACTCTGCTGGAGGGTTACACGGTATACGGCGGTATAGAGATGTGTACCAGCCGGGTGGGAAAGGAAGGCCTCTCTGGGGAAATGGCCAGATGGACGTTTAGGAAGCCAGACTCTTTCAACTGCTGCTCACGTACTCTCTGACTTCTGTTGGCAGAACATCCCCTACAGATCACATGGGGGCCTGGGGGTGGGGCTTAATTGGTTGCCTAGCACACAGGAAGGCTGGGTTCGAGCCTCAGCTCTGCATAAAATGGCCATGATGGTACTTCTCAGCACTGCAGAGGTGGAGGCAGAAGAATCAGGAGTTCAGGATCATCTTCCCCTACATGGATGGCCAGCCTAGGCTGTCTGAGAACTAGATAGTCTCAAAAAAGAAAAAAAGATCACCTGGAAAAGCCAGAGGCTTGCCCCCCCACCTCTGTGGGACTGCCCCGCAGGTTATAGCTCAGTCCTGGGCTTTCTACCAGTTTACTGTCTGTTGCTCTGGTAAACACTGTGACCAGATGACCAGAACAACTTGGGGGGGAAGAGTTCACTTGGCTTATACTTCACGTAGCAGTCTCTCGGAGGCAGGGTCTCAAGCAGGAGCAGAGGCAGGAGCCCCAGAAGTCATTGCTTACTGCCTAGTCTGCCCTGGCTGGTACCCAGCTAGCTTCCTTACACAGCTCAGGATGGTTGTGGAGACAGCGCAGCCCACAGTGAGCTCCCACATCCATGAGCAATCAAGACAGTCCCGTTAGGGACTGATAGTCCCCCACCTGCATGGCCTCAGGCCAGTCTGATTTGGATGATCCATCCCTCAGTTGAGACTCCCTCTTCCCGTGTGACTCTGGGTTGTGTCAAGTTGGCAATTAAAGTTAACTAAGCCAGGCTTAATGGACACAAATCCCACCAATACCTGAAGTATCTAGTCAAGAGACAAAGACAGAGGGCACATTCTTGGTGCAGCCATAGGTGGTAGGAAGCATGTCCTTCCACTCGACGCTTTGGAGTTACGTGGGATCCTAGGAGATGTCCAGGAAGTGACGGGGCTTGATGGTTGCACTTCCCTTTCCATGACAGGACAGAGTCTGAATTGCCCAAACCAACTTCTCCCAAGGTCAGCAGGAGCCCCACAGAGACAGCTGCTTCGGCAGAGGACATGACTCGCAAGAGTAAGTTGAGTGTGGGAGAGAGGAGTTGGAGCTCCCTCCCCTCCCCTCTCTACAACCCCCGAGAGAGGCCAGCATTAGGCATTGAGAAGCTTGGGGTTTGCTGCCCAGCACCTAGGCCCAGCTTCCAGCTTATTCCTTGGGCAAGTGGTGCAGCCTGTTTGAGCCTCACACTCTGCGTCAGAACTATAATTGCCCCGACCTTGAGGAGCTGGGACTTCAGGGAGTGTGCAGGGCTCTGGCACACAGGAAGTGCTAGAGAATGGAAGTCAGTGTGAGTGTGGTGGGTGTTCCAGCCCTCCGGAAGCCCAAGGACTATGAAGGACAGGACCAGAACTGTATTTAAGGTAGAGGGAAGAGAAACAAGGTAGAGGGAAGAGAGACGTTTGGGAGGAGTCTGGAGGCTCCTGAGCTTACCTGGTACACTCATGCCAGTCTGGCCCAGGATGGATAGGTAAGAGGCCAGGGATTCTCATGGGGATGAGTTCACTGGGAGCCCGCCCCCCAACCACCACAGTTCTGACAAGGGCCCTTAGAGCTGGGCGCATCATTCCGAGCTAAGAGAACAGTCACAGATGTCTACAGGCCACACAGGGACCTGAAGCCAGGGTACTACCAGAGTCACCTGAGCTTTCAGGTGATTAACCAGTGAGGAAACAGGCCCCAGAGAACAAATGAACCTTTGTAGTCACCTGAGTCCACAGAGCCAGGGAGAGTCATGATCTCAGCTCTACCTAGCCTCCTCCTTGGCCCTCAACTACCTCACAAGATTGAAACTTGCCTGAGGACCTGGGGCTTCTGAGAGGAAAGCAAGACCCATGTGTCAACAGACAGGAGGTATTTATTTAATTAACAGATGTGTAGCCTCTCCCATTTGAAGCCTAGACTGAGCTAACTAGTGGCCATGTTGGGTTTGTGTTCTAGGGAGAGACACAAGACAGATGAACAAGATAGTTGAGAGGACAAGGTCTCTGACTGACAGCATAACTAGGGTGGGGTCTGGGGGATCTGCTGAAGCTGAGAGGAACATAGAGGAGGACCACTAGGGAGCACTATCACCACAGAGGAGGACCATCAGGGAGCACCTCTGTGATGAGGACCCACTGTGGAAAGTGAACCCCACCCCAGAAGGAGTGTACAAAGGCCCAGATGCGGACCTATGGACATGTGATGCACACAGACACGTAAACTCCTAACGTTCCTCTATTTCGCTTCCTCCACAGCCAAGCGCCCAGCACCAGCCCGGCCTACCATGCCACCTCCCCAACCCTCCAGCTCACGCTCATCTCCAGCTCCATCCCTGCCCACTGGCTCTGTCAGCCCTGGCACTCCCCAAGCTCTGCCACGCCGTCTGGTGGGCACTGGCCTCCGGGCCCCCACCATGCCTCCCCCATTACCCCCAGTTCCTCCACAGCCTGCCCGGCGCCAGAGCCGCCGTTTGCCAGCCTCCCCCTGCCCAGCTTCCCCTGGCCTAGTCATTTCAAACACGCCTGCTCAGGCTGACCAGGGAGCAGCTACCGAGGATGGAGGAAGCCCTGAGGCTGTGGGTGAGCATCCCCCTCCCCCAGCTCTGCCACCCCAGCCCCGGCCCAGAGGCCTCATTTCTGAGGCAGATTAAGCAGGCCCTCCTGCCTGGCAGGTCCTCAGTGTCCCCTTTCTCCCCCTCCCCCCTTCCTCCCTGCACAGCCCTCGACCTGTGCCTAGGTGCCTGCTGGGCCGGCCCCTATGGCCAGGAGGGCTCAGGCCAGTCCTCTAATTTCTGACCTGTTCCTCTTCCATTTGAGCTTGGGGTTCCCACCCGACTCCCCACTCTCTGGCAGGGTCTCAAGAGAGCTATCAGAAGGAAGGACAGACTTGCCTGTTCGTACAGGACTTTTATTTTTTTTCTCTTGCCAATGTATTTTTGTAAGGCTCGTAAATAAATTATTTTTAACAAAACTGGAGTAACTGGTCAAATAATAGCTTTCTCTCCTGGAGATACAGAGTCTGCTTCCATCAGGAGGAAAGGGGACAGAGTATTTGCTGCCTTCCTGATTTGGAAGAGCCATGGGCTTGGAGCTTTCTCAGAGCTGCTTGTCTGAGTATGGCTCCCGTAAACTAGTTTCTAAGTGAGGTAAGAGCACCACCTGCAGGTGAAGTTTCTGAAACCAGTGAGAAGGGACTGCACAGGTCATGGCCAGCAAAGCCTGGGCCTGAAATTAGTGAATTAGCTCTGTAGCCTGGGCTCTTCCCCTCCCACCCAGTGAGGTTTGCTCAGCCTCTCGGGGTCATGGGTTCCTCCTCTGAGACAGTCTAGCAATTTCACCCAGTCTGTGTTCTGAAAATCAAAGCACCCGTGCACACATAAACAAGTTTCCCAGGAGCAGGGATTGATCTACCCATGGCCTTCCTGAGCTGCTCTGTGTTGGCCCAGGCTAACACCCTTTTCAGCTCTACACCTGAGGGTCTTTTGGGAGTGGGCTGGCAGGATTGAGCCAGTGCAGCTGGAAGCCCGATTTAATAGCCTACTGTGGGTGGGGACATGTTGTCCAGGGTCTTCTAGATCAAGAACACCCATTTCAAAAGTCACAGAGAATAGAAAATAGGCCTCAAAGGCATGGTTTACCTTTGGTCTCTTAACTTCAGTTGCTCTGGGGGTTAGACAGCTACAGCTCTGCTTAGAACAAAAATATTGTGACAGTACAGATCCCCATTCATTCTTGGTCCCCATACTTTGAACTACTGGTTATTCAAAGGCTGGACAGATTTAAATGTTCCCATCTACAAAATGGAGGCCTAGGCAGCTGGAATCACTCCATCAATAACATGGGCAATCAAATTGGCCCTGGCAATCAAAATAATGCCTAGTGCCCCCCCCACATGAAATCAGATCTCTGGGTTCCTGTCTTATATCATGTATTTGATTTTTTTTTTTTTTTGAGACGGTTTCTCTGTATACCCTTGGATGTCCTAGTTCTTGCTCTGTAGACTGGGCTGGCCTGGAAATCGGAGCTCTTCCTGCTTCTGATTCTGAGTGCTGGGATTAAAGGCACAACATGTATTCCCATTGCCCGGCTAGAATGTTTTTAACATTCATTTGTGTAGAGGTCAGAAGACAACTTGAAGGAATATGTTCTCTCCACCATGAGGTTTCTGAAGGAAGAACTCAGGTCCTCAGGCAGCAAACTGCCATCAACTGCTAAACCATTCCACTGACCCGGCATCTGTGGTTTTAAAATCATTTATCTAAAGCCATCGAACTGTAAAGTAATATCTTACTAAATGGAAATTTTACAACAACAAAACAAGTTCCCCGGGGACTCCACAGCACTGTCAGACGGCCAGAAGGATCACTGGCCAGGCCCAAGAGCCCAGACCAGCCTGCGAAGACACGGATAATGCAGCCCTTGCCCCGTCACATCCACATGTTTCTTTCTAATGAGCGTCAGTGGTTCCGAGGGCAACTAGATCTGGCCAGAAGACATCGCTTTTTGCCTCTGTGTTTCTCCTAGCAACCAGTTGGCCCACGTTTTTAATTGGCTGGGAAGCGCACGGCGATTCGCTCCAGCTCAGGCTGTCTCTCCATTGGTCCCCTCTTTCAGTGGGCGCCCGCGGTTCCACCCCTTTCTCTGAGCTCCTTCGGGATCGGCTAGCGCCTTCGACTAAACTCTAGTCGCTATTGGTTGAAGCCTGTGCTCGTAGCCCCGCCCCCGCCCCGTTCTGCGCGCCAATTGGTGGAGCTGCCCCTTGTCCGCGGAGGCAGCGCAGCGCGCGCGTGCGAGCGGCCAGCCGGCTGCATGGCGCGCTGCGAGCGGCTGCGCGGCGCGGCCCTGCGCGACGTGCTGGGCCAGGCGCAGGGAGTCTTGTTCGACTGCGACGGGGTGCTGTGGAACGGCGAACGCACCGTGCCAGGCGCCCCTGAGCTGCTGCAGCGGCTGGCACGGGCTGGCAAGAACACGCTGTTCGTGAGCAACAACAGCCGGCGCGCGCGGCCCGAGCTGGCGCTGCGCTTCGCCCGCCTGGGCTTCGCGGGGCTGCGCGCAGAGCAGCTCTTCAGCTCCGCGCTGTGTGCCGCGCGCCTCCTGCGCCAGCGTCTGCCGGGGCCGCCCGACGCACCGGGCGCCGTGTTCGTGCTGGGCGGCGAGGGGCTGCGCGCCGAGCTGCGTGCCGCGGGGCTGCGCCTAGCGGGGGACCCCGGCGACAACCCGCGCGTGCGCGCCGTGCTCGTAGGCTACGACGAGCAATTTTCCTTCGCCAGGTTGACCGAGGCGTGCGCGCACCTGCGCGACCCCGACTGCCTGCTCGTGGCCACCGATCCCGACCCTTGGCACCCACTCAGTGACGGAAGCCGGACCCCCGGTGAGCGCGGGACCGGGCGCGGGGATGTGTGCAGGGCCCCGACGCGCGTCTCGGAACTCCTGCGGCTGCTGCCTGTCGGGTAGTGGCCGAGGACCAGTTTGACAGACGAGCCACAGACTCTGTAGCTCAGGGAATGGCAGGTGGGATCCAGGTTTGGAAGTGGCCTCCTGGCTTTTGTCATTGGCCCCACCCACTTTGCAGGTGGGTTTGTAGAAGCGGATGATGGAAGGATGATGCAGGTGGAGAGCTGCATCCGCGCATCCAGAATCAGGATGGAGGCCAGTGTGGAGACTGGAAGATAGTGGAGCTTAACCTCAACTCCAATTCTGGCCCTATTTGGTCAACCCCGGGAGTTACATAACCTCGGAGCCTGGCTCTTCACCGTGCCGGCCGACCCTGGGCTCCTGAACCCAGCCTTCCAGTGTATTGATAGCGTCCTGAAGCCCCTTAATGGGTGTCTTCGTTTCCTTTCCAGATTACTTAAAAAATAAGAGTGTTGGCCCATTTCTCAGCTAATGAAATCAATGCTCAAGGAAGTGAGCTGCCAGAGAGCACTCAGCATAGAGCAGGGGAACCTGAACTTGGCCTTTGGAACAACCCCCATCCATCCATCCAAGAGCAGTTCGGGCTGTAGGAGTACTCAGGCCTGCACCTAGACGGTTGGAATGAGCCAAGAGGTGGAGGCAGCAGAGACGAGCAGATAGTGATGAATGTTTGTAGACAGGTTTGCTTCCTCCAGACAAGGCATGGACATATCTCTTCCACATCCGTTTTGCTAGCTTTTGGCCCAGATAGTCCTTGATACCAATTCTGGAATTCTGCAGGGTGGTATTGCAGGAAGTGAGGTAGTCACAGGTTTGAGATGGAACGGTGAACTGGATGCATGTGGAGAGAGGATCTGGGAAGCCTTCCCAGAGGAGGCATGCTGCAAAGCAGGATGACAGTGAGCAGAGAGATATTGGCATCCTGTCAGGATGGTATAGCCGATAAAGGAAGTTACTGCTGGGCCTTTCCTGGCTCCTGGCTCTGCCTGAGATCTACTTTCCACCTCACGCGTGAACCATCTCCTCACAAATCTAGGCGAGGGGTCACGGAAGCTGCTGCATCCTTTCCCCCATCATGTTACTATCTAGTCTGATTTCCCAGAGAGCTTGGGTTGAGGCTATGGGGCAAGGGTTTCTCCGGGGTCCCTTGGTCTGAGGAGCCTGGGAGAGGCAGGACTTAGTCCCAAACCTCTGCAGGAACCCTCCTGGCTTCTGTCTGCTGGACTCACTTACACCCAAGCTGCCGGTCACTCGTACTGCCTGGAGGGGGAGACAGAGCGTTAACAGACACAGGCTTGCAGCCTCATTTGTGAGTGATGTACCCTCCTAACATTGATTAACAAATGCCCGGTGGCGGTGTGCTGTAACCCAGGAGCAGGGGCAGGCGGACAAACAGTCATTAACCAAGGTTTCGATTATCCACCAGATCTACAATTAATGTGGAGGACCCACCCCAGTTCTCCCCCTTTCTCACGGGCCTGCGAAATGGTGGGCTTGTTTGCCACCGGCAGCCCCTTGAGCTGGCAGGTAGACACGGGCACCACTGCAGGAATGTGCCGTTACACACAGCAGCCTTGAGTTACATGTTACATTCAGGGGCTCGCCTACTGGGATGCTTGCTGCCCAACCATCATGTTGACTGTTGGAAGCTTAGCTGTAGATGTGGGATCAAGAGGAACCAGCTCTGCCCTGGGAGCTGGGGACCATCTTTTTGTTTACTTTTGTGTTTTTGAGACAGGGTCTCAGCCTCGGCCTGGCTTCTAAGTGCTGGGATTAAAGGTGTGCACCACCACTTCCTGGCATGAGGCTCAGGTCCCCTGCCTGTGCCCTGGCCACTGTTGCAACTCCTCCTTGTTATCCCTGCCTGTTCTCTGGCTGCTATACTGCAATGAGGTACCTATGAGGCAGAACGAGGAGGCCCTGAGGGTTTAGGTCCAGTGAGCGGGTCTTTATGCCGCTCTCAAATATGTTAGTTCCTTTTCTGTTGCTGCGATAAAGCACCATGACCAAGGCAGCTTACAGAAGGAACTGTTTATTGGGGGCTTATGTTTCTAGAGGGAGAGGAGTCGGTGGTGGGGAGCACGAGTGGTGGGCTTGGTGACTCAGACAGCAAGTTGGAAGCTCAGCAGCAAGCTGAGAGTGTACCCTGGGGATGATGGGAAGCTTTGAGACGTCAAAGCTTGTCTCCAGTAGTGCCTTTCCTCCTGCAGAGCCATGTCTCTTAAACTGTCCAAAAACCACCGCCAGCTAAAGACCATATATTCAAGTGACCAGCACTGTGGGTAATCACATTCAAACCAACACACTGAGGAAATTCAGCTCTGGGCAGATTTGTTTTGTTTTGTTTTTTGAGACAGGGTTTCTCTGTGTAGCCCTGGCTGTCCTGGAACTCACTCTGTAGACCAGGCTGACCTCAACTCAGAAATCCGCCTGCCTCTGCCTCCCAAGTGCTGGGATTAAAGGCACCACCCGGCTCTGGGCAGATTTCTTTTTTTTGGGGGGGGTTGGTTTTTTGAGATGGTTTCTCTGTGTAGCCCTGGCTGTCCTGGAACTCACTCTGTAGACCAGGCTAGCCTCGAACTCAGAAATCCGCCTGCCTCTGCCTCCCAAGTGCTGGGATTAAAGGCATGCGCCACCACCGCCCGGGTGGGCAGATTTCTTAATGTCGTGGGGCCTCGGCTTTCTCATCTGTGAAATGGGCTTTCAGTACACTGAGTAAATGGTGCCACTTCTCTTCATTTAGTTGTGGGTGTTGGTGTAAAGGCAGAATGTTCTGGCACGAGGTCATGCCAGTGGGCAGGAATAGGAGACTCATTGTGCCAGGAGATCAGTGCTGGCTGGGAGGCAGCACCTAAACAGGACTCTTGTTGTTAGACTCTCTGGCTTCTTCCCCAGCTTTGATTACTTCCCATGCTTACTGTGGCCACAGACATCTTTGAGGGTGTACCTTTTTGTCTCCAGCTGGAATTTTCTCTAGGGTATACTTTTCCCTGCAAGGCTGACTGGGTCAGAGGTGTGGACGTCTCTGGGCCTCGCTGCATTCCAGGCCAGCTGTGCCAATTTTCCATGCCACGAGCGTGGCTTCTTACCACCGCGGCTAAGTGCCCTTCCCAGCGAGGCCCGCAGCATTCCTTCAGGGGATGTGTAACTTGGATCCTCATCTTACCCACAGTTCAGAGAAAGTCAGAGAGGCCAGAGGGCTTACATAAACCCAGGAGGTGAGTGCGTGCCATTGCCAGCTTCATGTTAGATTGAGAAACTGAGGCAAAAATGCGCCCAGAGCAGTGTGACTTTGAATTCAGTTACCTGGGACAGGCAGTGCCCAGCCTTTAGGTCTGACCCAGCTGCTGCCCTCTTGCTGACCACGTATCCCCTCTCCACAGGTACCGGAAGCCTGGCTGCTGCGGTGGAGACAGCCTCGGGACGTCGGGCCCTGGTGGTGGGCAAGCCTAGCCCTTACATGTTCCAGTGCATCACAGAAGACTTCAGTGTGGACCCTGCCCGCACGCTGATGGTGGGGGACCGCCTGGAGACCGACATACTCTTTGGCCACCGCTGTGGCATGACCACCGTGCTCACACTCACAGGTGTCTCGAGCCTCGAAGAAGCCCAGGCTTACCTGGCGTCTGGCCAGCATGACCTTGTGCCTCACTACTATGTGGAGAGCATTGCGGACTTAATGGAGGGGCTGGAGGACTGAGCCCGCCTTCCCCGTTCCCTGATCCCATAGATGGAGGGGACAGGCCATGAGTCACTTTCAGTACCGTGAGCTTTCTGTCATGGGTGTCTGTACCCCAGTGAAGGGAGGCTGGGATCCAGGAAGGTTTGTGGGCTCTCATACCCCTCCCAGCCGTGGCTGGACACTGCTCTTCAGAAGCTGTCCCCCCACATCTTGAAGGTTCACCCTGGCCTGTCCCCACCAGGTGGCCTTATTTCCTGCCCTGTCCACCTCCCGTCCTTGGGCCCCGAACCAAATGAAGATTTTTCTTCCAATCTTGAGTTAAGGTCTTCCCGTTCTCTGGGACCTCTAGTGCCCTGTCCCTAGGTCCTTGTTGGCCAATCAGCGGTCTAGGGAACTCCAGCCCATTCCTGGCTGTGACAGGCCTATGGAAAGAAAGCTGCTGGTACGGCTGGCCTGTTAGTGTCTCAGAGTGGGCCTTTAGTGGAACAAGTAGGAGCTTAAAGAATGCCTTGTGTGTCCTGGAGCCCCAGAGCGCCAGTCAGAGGCTACGTGTCCATCAGGACAACAATGAATCCACTGGCCTCTTAGATCCCAAATAGAACAATCTACAAGTCCTAGAGACCTGTGGCCTTTTGACAATCCTGGCCTGACTGGATGAGCCAAGGGACCAGGTCTTACCTAGCAGGGCAGGGTGATGAATGCCCATAAGTCTAGCACTTGGGAGGCCGAGTATGGTGACCTGGGTTGCAGTCAGACCTCATCTCAGAGGGTCAACCTCAAAGTCACCCCCTCCACAGACTGCTCAGTGGGCCCCTGTGTGGCCCTGGAGTGGAATGGAGAGGTCCCCTCCCACCTCAGTATCATCCAGTGTTGATGGCTTTTTCAGCTTGGAGGGGCCCTCATGTCCCCGCCTGCAGTCAGCGTTTGCAGCGCTGCCTCTCCACCTGCCCCTTCCCAGTTATTTATTTATTGTGTGCCAGTGAAGGTGGGGGCGGGGTGGGACAGTCCCACCCCCTCCACCCGTTGTAACCGCTCCTTGAACTTAATAAAATGTGAATGGAAGTGTTGTGTGTGGAGTGTAAGCCCTGACTGAGCCTGCTTCCCTGAAACCCCTACACCCTACGCCCCACAAGAAAGGATGCCTCCCATTTCTCTGTTCTCAGTACAGATACATTTTGCTGTTAAGCTTTTAGCATCTCTGACATTTTACATGTAGGTTTGTTTCGGTCCTTTAAAAACCCAGTGTTGGGCCAGGAGTGGTGGCCTTTGATTCTAGTAGTGGGGAGGCAGAGGCAGGTGGATGTCTCTGAGTTCACAACCAGCCTGGTCTACAAAGTGAGTTCCAGGACAGCCAGGGCTACACTGAGAAATCCTGTTTGAAAAAAAGAAAAAGGGGGGGGATGTTGCTGGAAGTGGGACACTTGGGGTCCTCTGGCCTCCACAGAGACTGCATCCACATAACCCAGTACTTGAATTACTCTGGGAACCAGTAGGTATGTGGTGCTGTAGATCAGATGTCTCCTGTGCCTCAGGTACCAGCACCATACAGAAAGAAGAAATGTGATGTGGACTGAGACCAGGACAGACAGCTGATCTTTGCTTTGAACTGGAGATAGACATTTGCCCGGAATGTTGCAGCCCTCTCTGAGGAGTGTAGAAACTGGAGGTCACGTGATGAGCTCCCCACCCTCAGGCCATCTCGCCATCCCTCTCAAGTTTTAGATAACGTGGCATTATACACTCCTTAAAAATCTCTCAGGCTGCAATTTCTTCAAAGGATGATTCATCCCTGACTCCCTCTCCCGCTCTGCAGCCTTCAACCCTTCTATCGATGCAATTTATCAGAATAGGCGCAGTCCATTTACCTCTGCCTCGTAGAATACATTTCACACACCTCTCAGGACACCAGCATTCCTCAGGGCGGTGACCTAGAGCGTTCAACCTTCATTCGAAGTGCAGGACCCTGTCTCGAAAAGCAACAAAGCCACCGCTAGAGAATCGCCCGGGTAAGAGCACAGACTCCTCTTGCCCTCAGATTGGCAGCTCAAAATCACCTGTAGCTCCAGCAGCAAAGGATCTGACGCCCTGTTCTGGCCTCTGACAGACACACAAACACATTAACAACAACAACAAAAAGCAACGGTGGGTGATGCATGCCTTTAATCCCAGCACTCTGGAGGCAGAGGCAGGTGGATATCTCTGAATTCCAGTACAGCTAGAGCTATACAAAGAAACTCTGTCTCAAAAACAAACAACAAAAAACAGTCATCTTTGAAGCTGAATGAAGCCCCACACAGAGAGTGACTTGAAACCCATAAAAGTCCAGCATGAAAGCCTTTATACTTTTGCTTACGTACTGTTTAGGGGAGAAAGAAAAGACACTGGCCATCCAGATCCAATCGGATAACTCATCGCTATGAATACCTGGAAATTCAGAGGAAGAAAAGCCCAACCCTCAAAGTCTCATTCAAAACAGAAGGCTTGAGACTAGTCCACTTAATATTTCCTTTGAGCTTCATTACAGTAAACATTCATTTCAGCATTGCATTAATTTTGCTTTTTTTTTAAAAAAGAAATGACCAAAGTTTATAAGCATTTGCTTGCATGTATACATTTGCATGATGTGTGTGCCTGGTGCCTGGTGCCTGGTGCCTGGTGCCTGGTGCCTGGTGCCTGTGGAGGTGAGAAAATGGTATTGGATGCCCTGGAACTGGAGTTGAAGGAGGCTGGGAGCTACTAAAAGGGTTCTGGGAAGGAGACACGCCCTGAGCATGCCTATGCTGATGTTTCCCAGAGACGTTTAACTAAAGAAGGAAAGCCAACTGAATGTGGGCAGCAGCATGCCACAGGCTGGGGACCCAGGCTGAAACAGTGAAGAAAGACCGAGGACTGGGACCAGCATGGCAAGCTGTACAACCACCTGTCCCACATTTCTGCCACCATGTCTTCCTCACCAAGATGGACTGTTTTCCCTCAAACCATGAGCCAAAATACGCCGTTCCTTCCTTTGGTTTCTTACCAAGTAGTCACAGCCATTAAAATCTGTACAAAAAAATTGCTGTTGGCAGAGGGGTCGCTTGTTGTGAGAAGCCTATGCGTGAGGTTCATAGGCCTTCTATGAGTAACATGGAAGAGTCCAGAGCTGCTCCCTAGAGAGGCTCAGATGTTATAAGCGGAGAGCATCATGGGCCATTCTGCCGAGAGTTTAGTAGGACCAAAATGCAGAGACCCTGAGCGGTGAGGTTTCAGAGGAGGCTGCGGACTCCACCAGGACCTGAGCTAAAGGTCACTTGTGGCATATTCTAGCCGAGGGCCTAGCTGCACTCTGCCAGCTCTCCAGAAAAGCTGAGTGAGGCTGAATTCAAAAGCAACAAACTGAGCTGTTTGGAATTTTCAAGACAGCACAACAGCCAAGCTGCACCGCAGTGGCTGCTCGCTGTTCTTAGATCTACAGTGCAAAAGAGTGGAAAGTTGCAGGGGAGCTGGAGAAAATAATTACAGTGGACAAAGAGGGTAATGCCACGACAGAGAAACTGTGCCTGAGGCAAGAGGAAAGATCCCTTTAGAGCAAGACAGAGCGGCTGAACTGAGACTGCTGGAGGGGTTCATCACTCAACCACCACCCCTAGGGAAGAGTTTCCTAGGTCCACCCGCCAGAACGCGTGCTACACCTGTGGTAACGGTCCAGACCACACATCAGGCCGCCATTAGAGCTTGGCAGCATCTGTATGGTGCTAGTTCTTCATGCATGCAAACTCTAAATGACAAGGTCGTGGAGGTGCCAGAAAACTGCCAGGCAGTGTGTAGCAGGGTTGGAGGCCCCGCAAGGAGACCCTAAGAGGCCATTATTACTTGAAGCTACGAAAGTGAGGCTCAAGTCAACCAGGGCTGCCAGACATCTACTGAGGAAAGTGGTAGCCATAGGCACGGAGTGAAGCCTGCCCAAAAGAGAGGCAGCCGAATTGGAATGGGCGGGGCTTCCAGAGGATGTTAAAGCCCAGACAACACCACGAAGAGTCCCAGATGCCAGACAGGAAACTGCAGGGTTTGATATGTTCTCTGCTGGGTTTCAGTCTTGTTTGCACCTGATTCCGTCCTTCCCTTTGAGAATGGAAACATTTACCATTGTATATTGGGAGCAACTTGTTTTCTACTTTTTATGAGTTTATGGCTGCCTGGTGGTGGTGGCACACACCTGTAATCCCAGCACTTGGGAGGCAGAGGCAGGTAAATCTCTGAGTGCCAGGCCAGCCTGGTCTACAGAGTGAGTTCCAGGACAGCCAGGACTACACAGAGAAACCCTGTCTTGAAAAACCAAACAACAACAACAAAAGAGTTTTGGCTAAGACTACCTTGAGTCTCAGGAGAGATTTTCGACGTCAGGCTTTCAAAACACTGTTAGAACTGTTTGAACTTTTTTTTTGTTTTTTTGTTTTGTTTTGTTTTTGTTTTGTTTTTCCAGACAGGGTTTCTCTGTATAGCCCTGGCTATCTTGGTATTCACTCTGTAGACCAGGCTGGCCTCGACCTCCAATTCAGAAATCCACCTGTCTCTGCCTCCCAGGTGCTGGGATTAAAGGTGTGCGCCACCACTGCCTGGGTGTTTGAACTTTTAAAGATGGACTAAATCCATAAATTTAAATTTATGGACTGGGCTGGAGAGATGGCTCAGTGGTTAAGAGCACTGACTGCACTTCCAGAGGTTCTGAGTTCAAATCCCAGCAACCACATGGTGGCTCACAACCATCTGTAATGAGATCTGATGCCCTCTTCTGGTGTGTCTGAAGACAGCTACAGTGTATTCATATATAATAAATAAATAAATCTTTAAAAAAATGTATGGACTAAATCCATAAAATTAAGTTCATTAAATTTAAAGAGATAAATTTGAGACTTTGGGGCCAAAGTTGGATATTAATATGAAGTACTTCAGCCGGGCGGTGGTGGCACACGCCTTCAATCCCAGCACTTGGGAGGCAGAGGCAGCGGATTTCTGAGTTCGAGACCAGCCTGGTCTACAGAGTGAGTTCCAGGACATCCAGGGCTATACAGAGAAACCCTGTCTTGAAAAACAAACAAACAAACAAACAAACAAACAAAAAAGTACTTCAGTGTCTTGTGGATTGTGGTGGTTCATCTCCTTGGTCAAATTGACTGGATGTAAAAGCATTTTGGAGGGGGCTGGAGAGATGGCTCAAAGGTTAAGAGCACTGTCTGCTCTTCCAAAGGTCCTGAGTTCAGTTCCCAGCAACTACATGGTGGCTCACAACCATCTGTAATGGGAATCTAACGCCCTCTTCTAGTGTGTGTCTGAAGACAGCTACAGTGTATTTGTATACATAAAATAAATAAATCTTTAAAAAAAAAAAAGTATCTCCGGGGACACCTGTGAGGATGTTTTCCTGAATGTGAGTAGCACTGTCCCCTGGGCAAGGAAAAGAAGAGAAAGTGGGGTGAATGCCAGTATTCCTCCCTTTCTTCCAGAATGCAGACACAATGTGACCAGCTGCCTCACCCCGGTGCCTTTCCTGACATGACAGACCATACATACCCTCAAACCACGAGCCAAAACAAACCCCTCCTCCCTTTAAGTTACTTAGCCAGGTATTTTATCAGAGCCGTGAGAGATGTAACAAATCCAGTAATTTCAAACTAACACTCTAATGCATATGTAAAGGCTTAGGCCTGAGCCCTGGAGGTTGGGGATCAGAAGAGGACCGACCCCAAGTAGGAAACAAACTAGATGAGAAAAGTTGTTGTCTGGAAAAGTGGGACGGGGGTGGCAGCAAGGGCATGCAGTGGGGGAGGTCAAAAGCTGCCCTTCTACCCTTCAAAAAACAGCTTTCAACAAAAGCTTCATAAAACAGCCCGGATCCATGCTGTTCTCTCCTCAGCTCCAGCTCCCCGAGACAGCACAGCCAAGTACCCTCCCTGTCTGGTTTCCACATCCTTAAAGTGCATCATAAAATGTGGGGGAGCAGGTCAGGCATAGCATCTCTGGGGTCCCTCCCTGCTCTGACTTCAAGGACTCTGTGTTGGAGCCAGCTTGGTGGGTGCTGTGGATGGT